ACTGGGGGGGGGGGGGGGCAATTTACACCACCGGCCAAATTACCCCAACTTCCCCTACCTATCAACACGAAACTTGCAGTACCTTTAGCTGCATCAATTTGACACTTATTGTCAAAATTACAAGTTTGTAGCTACCATAGGTCGGCCGGAAATGACGTCAGAGTGACGTCATATTGGGCGATTTCGATGCAAAACATTGAGCTACGGCGATCGCTCTCAAGAGCTCAGTTTTTAAGCTAGATCAAATTTCTTTGCATGAGGGGACTCACAGTACACCGGGAAGTCGGTTTTGGCGACATGGCTCACTCCTGAGGGCTGACTGGAAAGAGGATAAACTTGCAGTGATTGAGTCCCGACAAATCATCGGTGTCACTTACCGACTGTGCGTACAGTTAGCGACAGACATTGGCTACAAACTAGTCGACTTCAATCACCCTCAATCGTCGCGAATGGTCACGTGCCGACTAAATACCGAGACGTACCCGTATCAGAGACCTCTATGTTGCGGCGTTAGCCGTCTTTTTAGGAAGCGGACTTTCTACCAAAAACTATTTTGTCTAGAGAAATTAGTTACTGTGGAGCATATTGCTACCAGCCATGGCGACCACATAAGCTCAGTTACGAGCCAAGTTCAGCGTGCCTTTAACCCGCGACCGCCTGGGGGGGGGGGGGGGTCGGATCCGACCCCCCCCTCCGTTTTTCTTGAATAACTCATGAACCGCTTGCGCTATCAACTTGAAACTTCGCATACCTTCTCCCCCATCAATTTGACGTCTCCTGTGCAATTTTTAAGAATTTTTTTTTTTCAAAAATTTCTGAGATATATCGATTTTAGTGATGTAACTACATGGCGTTTTCAGTCAAAAAATGGTAAATGTTTAAAAAATCGCCAGAAATCGAGGTTTTAAGCAAATTGCAAATTAAGAACATGAAAAGACGCAGCTCAACGAGTTCTTTAAAATGGCTATCTCGGATTTTCCATAAAATGCGTTTTTCACCCCTAAAAATTCAAAAAACTATATTTTTTGGAAAACAGCTAATAAAATCCAAAATTTTGAGAATTTCCAAAAAAACGGAATATATGTTATAGAGCTCTATTAGAACATTAGATGTCCCAAATTTCAACTTTCTATCTTGATTTTTGACCCCCAAATTGTAAAAAATAGCTCCAACATGCATAGGGCATGGTGACGTCATAAGCATTTTCGCGAATTAGAGGCACTTCTGAACATCGCATGTGAAAACAAATGGCACCACTAGATTCCTGGGACAAAGCTCGTCTAGAAAAGTGCATTTTTATGTCAAAAATAAAAAGTTGAAAAATTGACCTTTTTTCTCAGCCCTCGTTAAGTATAAACGATTTTTTATGCTTTCAATGCACACTTATCACCAGCACAGTGACTTGGGGTCACATATAACCATTACCATCGGATTTGGCGTGAAAAATAAGTCATAAAACATGTGTCGCACGCCCATGTAGCAGAAAGTGAAAACCGTGACCTTTCGTGACCTAACCTGACCTTGACCCGTACTTAGTATGACCCCTATACGCACATGGTACCTTCACTAGGTCTTTGAGGTCATTTGTGGTGAGTTTCGAGCAGCAGCTATCGATTCCGCTGTCCGTAAGCCTAATCATGCAAAACCCCTGAATTTGACCTTTGACCTGACCTTGACCCGAAAGTTGACCTCAATCTTAAAATCTTAAGAGTGCTTTGGGAAGGTCTCGTAGAGACCTTTCGAACGCCGCCTCGCGGGGCTCGATACGACCATTGGTTCTCGAGATAACAGGGGGGGGGGTCGGATCCGACCCCCCCCCCCCAGGCTGATGTGGGTACGGAAATAGCCCAGGCGGTGCCGGGTTAAGCAAGAGAGCCTATAAACGTAAAATTTAGGTGAGAACGAACCTATGGGACACCCTGTATATGATAGATCTGGCATGTGGATAGTCACCTGAGTGGATGATGACCTGTGACATCGCAATAGAGGTCAGCCTCGACCAATCAGAAAACAATTCGTGAATCGTAAGGAATGGCATGTTAAATTGTGAATATTCGAGTCTATATAAAGACATGTCATATACCTATATGCAACCACAGAAACCGCCTTGACCATTTTTTTCGACCTATGACGTCACAGGAAGGTCAAATAAGGTCAAATTGTACCGGTTTACAACGAAAAACAATTTTCACGTTAAAGTGACTTTTCTCACGTAAAGGATCATATTAAGCCAGGAAGAGGTTGATAAGTATCATAAATGTTACCTACTCCTCACTGATTTCAAGCACAAATACCGAAAATATTGTGACGTCATAATAACAGTCACTACTTTCTCAGTCATTCAAATGGCTATATGTCTGGCAGTTTTAGAGATATTTGGTTAATTTTTGCATGTTCTACTCTGTGGTTGACTACTTTTGATACATCCAGGCGACCGTCCTGGCACGTGCCACGTGAAAAGCCAAGCTGGTGTTCAAGCAGTTCCACAGAATTAGCGCTTTTGGGAGGCCTATATCTCGGCAACTGCTTAGATGATTGACTTGCGGTAATTTTTGTAGGGTAGCTGCATCCCTTCTACCAAAAATAGGATACTCTCGATGCATGTGGGTCACCCTCAGTGCACGTGCAAAATACAACAATAAGAGGTGTCAAATTTGTTCCCATTTTAATAGCTCGGTAATTACGGGGGCAATTTCGCTGAAACTTGGCATACAGGTAGGCACCCACCAGGCAATGCATTCCCATGTGTTGCGACTTGGGTGCTACTGCACGTGCGCCCGTGCAGGGGGCGTTTCCAGATCTCGAAAACGGCTGGACCGATTGCGCTCAAATTTGGTACACGGTTGAAGACCAGTTAGTAGGGTGCCGTGCAAAAGTCACTTTGGACCCCGTTTGCACGTGCGCACGTGCAGAATGCCGCTTCCAGATCTCAGAAACGGCTGGGCCAATTGCGTTCAAATTTGGCACACCGCTAGCAACCGGTTAGAAGAGTGCTTTGCACAAGCCCGTTGGAAGTACCTTCCGCCCTTCCGCACGTGCAGGGCTCACTACCTCGCTCGCTCGTTCTTCGCCCAAAAGGCATTTTACTGTATACATTGTCGTAAATATCACACAGACCCTAAACCAATCAAAGATTACTGCCGGATACATAACGCATAAATGACTTCCTACCCACCATTCTCAGAGATGATTATCCTGCATTACTACAACCTCTCTTCTCTTTTCTTTTTAAAACGGAACTTCTTCGTAGTCTTTAGGTTCACTGGTTTCTTCATTCAGTTTATTTAACTCAACATGTAAACACACCGGTGTGAAATGGTCCAACGGACCGAAGCACCTAACCAACAAAAAAGAAAAAAGAAAAAGAACGCCCGCAGTCCCTCCGTTCCGTCGTTTCCATCCTCAGGATGCTGAAATCCTTCTCCACGACGCAACTCCCACTCCAGGCTGGACAGGCACCTTCCTATCTCATGCGGGCTGCTCCCTTGGAGTGGCACCGCTGCTACCGAGGGAGCGCAACCCGTAGCCAGGTGCAGAGAGTGCTTGGGGGGGCTGGTCGGCCTGTCCATTTGGACGGGCTCCGCCCGTCGACTCTTAAGGGTGTCTGTCCAAATCAATGTCTCCCCCTAATTCCGATCATCCTGCCGGCTCTGCAATGCAACCGAAAGGGCCTCAAAAACGGGCGCCGCCGTTTTTGGCACACCTGTTCGTGCATCTTTTCCGCACATGTTGTGAAAATTTCAGACCCAGGTCACCTTAGGTCAAGTCACCAGGTCACGCAAAGTGACCTCACCTCAGAAAAAAATAAGAATGTTCGTCCTAGCTACACCGATTGATCGATTGCCTTGAAACTTTGAGCGATTGCTTGGAGCAACATTATCTATAAAATGTATATCTCGGCATTGTAATATCGGTGACCTAAGGTCAGGTCAATTTTGCGGCCTCTCCATTATAAGTCAATGTGAGAAAATTGAAAAGCGTCTGTTTTGCACGAACGCTATTCTAGACACTCTCAAACATCGAGATGTAGGTAAAATTGACACACTGAACCGGAAAATAGCAACTGTGACCCCTCGTTATGTCCCCGAGGTCATCTCAGGTCACGAACAGAATCTAACAGTTTTTCGCTAATAACTTCTGATAGAGACGTGCTAGAGCACTGAAAACACCTTAGATGTGTTCGGCTCGACGTGGCGGATCGACTGATATGCAACGTGACCTTTTCCGGTCAGGTCATGACCTTGACCTGAGGTCAAATTTTCAAGTTGACCTTTCAAGGTCAAATTATAGTTCATTCGACGCGTCTCGACGAGAGGAACACGATGCTGGCAAAAGTAATGTCATGGCGCTTTTGAGTCAAAAGTTATTGCCGATAAAACGCTTTTCGTAAAAACGGCTATTTTTGGAGTTTTTGCCCTCTGGAGGCTAAACCGTTGACCTGAGGTCAAATCTGAGAACATTATTCAGAAAGGTCTGTAAAAGGGCTATCGAATGCGCTTTTCCGCGGCGCTGTAGCTCTATCGGTTCCCGAGATAGCCGCTGGCAGTTTTCAAAATGTTGAAATAGTCAACATTTTACCTTTAGTGACCTCTGGTGACCTGACCTTTGACCTGACCCAAAAAATGACCGAAGTGTTTTCGTCCTTATTTTGGACGTTCTTTCGATTGCCGCTTACCGCGTGTCGCTACGTGGCCCAGGAGCCGATATAGAAGGGGGGGTGTTCAGACACCCCCGCCCGGCGCGGAATCTCAGAGCACCGGCCCGGCGCGGGTTAATTTACCGTACTTGGTGAGATTGGGCCCAGGGCCCTATCTTACCAAGTGCGGTAAACCCAATTTTAGGGACGTTTTTTGCAGTTGCGTAGTGGGGTAGTTTGGTAGTTTACCTCAAACTGAGTTAACCGCACTTGGTGAAACTGGGCCCTGGCGAGTGGAGACCTGACTGGTCGGCCGCCGTCCAGTGCCGAGACCAATGCAGTTCTACTTCTGACACCCGAACAGAATCAGCGCCGATAACGACGCGACTAATCTGAAAATGGAGCCGCCCAAAGCTGAAACTCTACATTGGTTCTAATGCGAAGAATTACGATAGCGTTGCTAGGGGCGTGCCCAGACCCGGCTCGATTACCCAGCTATCGAGCGGTGGGCCCGACTGCCGCGCCTGAAACCAGCACCGAGACCACTGGCCGCGGCAAACCAGCACCGAGACCACTGCCCGCGGCAAACCAGCACTGAGACCACTGCCAGCGGCAAACCAGCACTGAGACTCGACGTGCAGCTTGAGTCTCCCACCCAGATCGGCGCTCGGCCGAGGCACCGGAGCGGCGCGCGGCCGGGGTATAACCGGAGCGCTCGGCCGCACCGGAGCGAGCCCAGGCAGTGAGCCGTGCCGGCCGGTCAGCCGCGCCGGTAACTATGTCGGCAGCTGGGGCCGGCTGGCCCCCGACCGACAGGCTGGAAATCATGATCAACCTCACGCCCGAAGCGCAGATTCTGCTGAATCCGTTCTCGTGGGCCGGGGCGCTGAACGCTCTGCTCATCAGGCAGTTCGGCTTCACGCTGGCCGACCTGGTGGCCTTTCTGGTGCTGTCGTTTGTCTTCTGGAAGGTGAGCCGCCCAACTGCACTCAGTGGGCTTCCGCTGAGCCAAGTGGGCTCCACTGAACTCAGTGGACCCAACTGAGCTAAGTGGACCCAGCTAAGCCCAGTGTACCCAATTGAACTCAGTGGGCTAAACTGAGCTAAGTGGGCTCAACTGATCTCAGTGGACCCAACTCAACTCAGTGGGCTTAACTGAACTCAGTGGACCCAGCTAAACTCAGTGCACTCAACTGAACTAAACCTTACGCCACTCTAATGTGCTTCATTCGTGACCGTTTCTATACGATCAACCTTCACTACCTTGAGGTCTGTTTGGCTGTTGGGCAGCTGTAAGGTCATGTGACGTCATCAAAGGTCACCAAAGGTTTTTTGCCAATAACTCCGTACAGGAACAAGATACAGCCGCGCCCGCGCGGATGGTCTCATTGTGTTCAGCTCATCAAGCGGCATCGAATGATATACATGATGACCTCGAGGTCACGTAACCTGAGGTCAACCTTTGACTTTGACCTTTCGAGGTCAACATATATATCATTCGATGCGGATGGACGAGAGGATCACGATGCTGCCCTTTGTTTGTTCCTATCTTGACTAATTCGAAAGTTATTCGAGAAAAACTCGCCATATCTAGCGCCGCCATTTTGACTTTTTGACCTCTGTGACGTCATTTTTGACCTGACCTGAAAATGACCTTTATAAAAATTGTAGACCTTGTCCGTGCGTATCCGATGCCGTCTACCGCTTGTCGCTATCTTGCTTCGTTCTCGAGATCTCAGGGGGGCGGTCATCCGCCCCCCCCCCGTCGGTACGAAGTTGGCGCAGACCCCCGTCGGTGCGCGGGTTAACGTCCTTTGCGGGCCACCTTGTAGCAGCACTTGCAAAGCAGTATCTGAATAGACGAGTCGACATTGTTGCGATCGAAATTACATCATTTATTCTGATAGTCCGTGTATGCACCTGGTCCTGGTGTGCGCTACAGGACACAGGTCCCGCGTCGCCAGTCGAGTGTGGAGGAACACTGGCCCGTGTGGTAGGAACTAGAGATGTCAATCGGATACCAACTTTTGGTATACCGATACCAAACCGATACCAACTTGGTATTTGGTATTTGAATCGTAATGTGTTTGGTATTTTGTTGGTATCATGAACCCTCACTGATGTATAAGAGGCTAAGAAATCGGAAAAAAAGCTGGTACCTATTTCCCTCATTTTCCCAAGTCGGTTTGGTTTCGGTATTTCCTCGCAGTTTTGGTTGGTATTTGGTTAATGGTTTGGTATCGGTATTCCGAAGTTCCGTAATTGACATCACTAGTAGGAACACTGGCCCGAGATGGCGCTGTGGTAGGGAGTAGGGACATCGGCCCGAGATGATACTATGGAGGTATGTACTAGTAACTAGAGGTACGCCGGTCCTACGCCGAGGTCGCTCTGTGGCTCTCCAATCGCCAGGTCTCGCGAGATTAAGCGGTAGGTTTTGCACTTTTACATTTCCGGTTATATCTCAGAAACTAATCGATCTACGATGAAGCCATTTTAAACGATCATGGCCGGCTTGTTACCCAATAAGTCGATCGCATCTTCAACACTTAAAACCTTAAGACGACGAAGATATAGCCTGAAGTACACTAAATTACCTAGGTGCAAAACTTACCGCTAAAACCCGCGAGACCTGTACTTACATACCTCTTCAGTCTTCATTGTTATTTTTTCGAGGTTTATGTTTATTTACATAGAGGGTAAGTGCACATGCGTACCTACTTTTCGCATATACCTACCGCATACGTGTCTCAATAGTCAATATCCATGATCCCACGTCATTACCAACATCCTATTTATCTGCAAGGTTAAAGTCCATCAAAGGTGTTCCGTATCTAAGCTGAATACGGCTAAGGCCAGAATAGGGAATATGGGCTGTCTCCTTGACGGGCATTATTAGAGTTTGGTCATTCTGATGGCTAGTTACCTCCACATCTGTGCATGGTACTCGGGCCTGATCGGATCGTGGCCTGTGCCCCATCTCGGCAGGTGCTGGTGCTCTTCATCCTGCCAGGCATCTACTTCCGCGTGATGCTGTACACGGACGAGATGGAGTCGCAGCACCATTCCAGCCGAGGCCTGCCACCGACCGGCCGGCCGGCCGCGCAGGTCGACTGCACCCTCACTCAGGTCTGTCAACATCCAGCCAATCTCCGCAGATCTGGAAGCGATCCTTTCACCCTTACAGTTTGCACGTGCGCACGTGCACTGCAGTAGCACCCCGATCGTGGACACGTGAAAATGCATTACCCAGTGCGTACCATACCCACATGCCAAGTCTCAGCGCAATCGACCCGGCACTTGCTTAGTTATTGCAATGGGAACAAACTTGACACCTCTTCGTTTCGCACATGACACGTGCAGTAGCGGTCACCCGCATGCAATCGAGAGCAGTCCGATCCGATGTTTGGTGGAAAATATGCAACTACCCTACAAGCTACCCACGTAGGTTCCAAGGCCCACGCTGGCCTCCGAGAGCCCTCACAACCTTGAAGGGCCCAAAATGGCAGCCCAGGCATCATTTCACGTGCTGGAACGTTTACAACAACAAAAAGTTTGCCCCTCACTGTAAACGTCTTTTTTGAACACTGAATTACTGAGAAAACTGGTTGGCGCACATTGGTTTGACCAGATTTCACCCTATTCCTGGCGGGCTCCGCCGGGACAAGAAACTGGCGGGGGGCCGATTCGGCCCCCCCCCCTGAGATCTCGGAAACTAATGGACGGATTTTGATCCGGTAAGCGGCATTGGATTGCTCTCAACGTGAACTACATTGTAGACATTTTTTATCAAAAACGAAAAAAAAAAACAAACACTTGAGACCCACAAAAAGCCAAAATTTTCCGATTTGGCAGAGTTTTCAAAGAATGAGGTCTAGCTCAGTATCTAGGAAAGTCAGAGCAAAACGGAAAAAAGCAGCTGATAGCTGAGGAAATTTCCTTTCGAACAGCTACCAACAGATTTTAGCTATTTTTGATATTTGAGGCGCTAGGAGTCAAAAATCTAAAAGCGTATTTTTTAGTAACATCACTTTTGCGTCAATAACTTCTGAACCGATAGTGATAGCCTGAAACGGTAAACGCCGTTGCAGTTCTCTAATAAATGTGAAACAAATGGTTTGTATTTTGACCTACTAAGGTCACTCTCAATTTTGACCTCAGGTCACGGTTGACCTGACCTGAGCAAGTATAGGCGAGTAACATATCATTCGATACGTCATGACTAGGGAAACATGTTATATAAAGAAGTGTTTATATATATATATATATATATATATATATATATATATATATATATATATATATATATATATATATATAGTAGTTAACAGACCAATGCCGATAATAAAATAGAGAACAGACTCGTTTGTGACGTTTCGATATATGTATATGCTTATATCTTCGTCAGAATAATAAATCGGCGTATCGTTCACACTTTTCGACAATAATGGCACACAAACACGATAAAGATGGGTACAAAAACACTTAAAAACACGTAGCGAAATAATCACATCTAATTTCACTTTGTCCTTTCATTTGCAGGATCCAATATTTCTATGTGCCTCCAGCAGCTGGATCCATACTATAATTCGACAGAATAAAGAGCAGACGGCGAAAGCAATGCAGAATACCCATTAACTGGGCTTGACGGTTGTACATAACTAATAATTTGCAACACCTGAAGTGGAAGAGATGCACTTGGGTTAGACCTTCCCACCTACCCTTCCTTTCGGACATTTTCTCCTTCACTTTCCCTTAGTGTTCCCAGAAGTCCCACCCACCTCATCTCTCTAAATTTCCTACGGTCCTCTGAGTTCCCCCATGTCCTTTCCAGACCGATTATTCTAAAGTCGCCCTCTTTATGCCCCCCTCCTGAGAAGTGGCGGTTCACGGGAATCCTGCCCTCCCTCCTACACCGTATTGATGAAAGGTGGTGCTGGGTACGCGCATATATTGTATCGCCTGTTTGTCCTACATATACCACCTTTTCACACTTATTGCACCAGACACCATACACCAGGTTAGATGACCTACACCCTATGGTTTTGTCATAGTGTACGGGCCCTCCCACTCCTGGTATTGAGTCACCCTCATAAAACACCTGACAGATTGCACAGTCCCTCCCGCAGTCCTGCCTCCCTTGGGTTGTAAGTGCCCTCCTCGTCTTGCCATGTACCAAAAGGTCTTTTAGATTCCTTCCACGCTTATACGCCACCATCGGGTCTCTTTGAAATATGTTTTTCAGTCTGTCTGATCTGTGTAGAATGTGTCTATTACTGTGCATGATCCCCCTAATGTTTGGCAGGTAGCTACTGTATGTTACTACCAATGGGACCCTATCATGCTCCTTAGACCGTCGTGTCTGACCCTTCCCACTAAGCAGATCTTCTCGTTTCATACGGTCTGCTCTACGAAGCTCACCTTTGACCTTATCCTTAGGGTATCCCCTCTCAACCAACCTGTTGACCAACTTGTGTTTGTGCCGCTGGTAGTCAGATTGGTTGGAGCAGATACGTTTCAGACTGACTCCAAGGCCCATTGGTATAGCCCTAGTCCGAAGTGTAGTGCAGGTACGCTCGAGCATCAGTTGGTTTGGTGAAGAGATCGGTAGATATGTGACCCGACTCACTGAGATGTACCTCCACATCAAGGAACTCGATGTGGCTGTCAGATATCCTCAGATCCACCTTGATGTTTTGGTGTATCTGGTTGGCCAAATCATGAAAGGCCCGCAAGCTCTCCTCTCCACGTACCCATAGACCCCAGATATCGTCAATGAAACGATAACATTTGAGCGGCTTGAGCGCAGACCTACACAACAAATCTTTCTCCCATGCCCCCATATACGTGCACGCAAAATTTCTGCCCAATTTAGACCCAATCGCGGTACCCTCCGTTTGCCTATAATTCCTACTTTCCCCGAGCTGAAAATTATTATTGTCCAGGACTAACTCAATGACTTCCAAGACTTCCTCTGTGGGGATGTTTGGCTCTGTCCGTTCATTTAACGCCACCCGACATGCGTCTAACCGCTCCCGCCTCGGGACACTCGGGTACAATTTTGTCACGTCCATGCAGAACATCAGAGGCCGGTGCCCTCCATTACGCTCGACTGGTTGACCAATCTCCTGCAATTTGCTGAGGAAATCCCCGGTATCCCTTACGTACGAGTCCTGTGCTTCCACATGCTCCGTCAGCTGACTCTCTGCTAACCCCGCTAGTTTCTCAGTTACCTGCCCCCTCCCACTTACAATTGTCCTCATTGGGGCCCCCTCCTTGTGAATCTTAGGGTTACCCTGTAAGATACCTGGTGTCGGACGGGGAGGGACAAGATACTTCTTCTCATTCTTACCGATATATCCTTTCTCCTCTAGTCGTGTCACTAACTTACTCACCTTCCTCGAGATCACTGAGGTCATGTCACCCTTTGTTGGTTCATACCCGTCTCCCTTATCCATCACATCTGACAATAATATGTAATTGGTGAACGACAAAATAGTCATACCAAAGTATTGTACTCACTTAGGCGATTTGATTGATATGCAACATGACATACTTTGCTAGAGAAAGTGGCATGACCTCAGGTCAAGGCCAGGCTAGGTCAAGAAAGGGATACTAGGTGACTTTCTTGATATTCGATGCTTCACTAAGCAGTATAGGCACTTACAACTAAGGTAAACAACGCTTTGAACATACTTTTCTGTACAAGGTATATGCAAAAATAGTATTTGACCTCAGTGACCTCGTGTGACCTGGTATGACATGACACCTCCCATAACGTACTCTTCATTATATGAAGACGATATGAATGTTTCATGCATATAAGTTCTGATTTTACCCCAAACATGCTAGTTTGAATCGTTTCCCCATTGACGGTAATGGTAAGCATTGGTGACCTCAGGTCATGACCTGTCAAGGATATCACAAAAACCGAAACATATGTTGCACATATCGGTAAGCTCATTTGAACCTGGAAGTTTGAGCATATTTTCTCGAAAACTCTTGCTGTGGTGAGGGGACAAACATTTTTTCATGACCTAAATTTAGGTTGACCTGGTGACCTGACCTGAGGTCAGATCAACTCAAAATTTTCAGAAATGTTGCGTAAAAGCCTATTAGGAAAAGTCAGAAAATTTGAGCTTCCTAGCTCAAAGCGTTTGGGAGAAATAACCAAAAAACCTCAGGGGGGGGGGGCTCCTGAGGCCCCCCGCCAGGAATAGGGTTCACAGACGATCAATTTCATCAAATTTATTTGCTATTTTACAGACTCATAGCTCGTACCTACAGCCCCACAGGGAAAGACGACTTCTCAGGAATTATGTCTGAACCAATTAATAAATTGCACGGCGTTTAACATACATAGGCGGTCCCAGGGGGGGGGGCACGGGGGCCATGGCCCCCCTTTGGTGCTGAAAGGCGGGGCCATACTATCTTTTGGCCCCACCTTTCAGATCGAACAAAGGTCCTAGAAAGCTTTTTGTATGTTTCATTTTCTTTCTTGCGCCATCAAAGGACGTAAATTTTACTCATGAGTGGGCTCAGCTTCGCATTCTGTCAATTTGGCGGTCAGCGTCGCTGGCACCGCTTCACGAGTAAGGCCGGATCTTATATGGAATATCAGCATGGGTTTACTTGAGGCTCTCGTAGGCCCAGCAATGGCTGGCATGAGACCCTCTTCGGCAGTGGCGGGTGGGCCCTGCCAAATGAGCGTGGCTCTACGACACTAAAGTAAGACCTCATGGGTTGGTGCGGTGCACCTCAGAAGCCCGGTGGTGACGCCGTATGCCGGCTTGGTTTCTTAAGGATTAGCGTGGGACCTCCGGGGCCTGCATATAGTTTGCATGAGCTAGTATGCAATCTCAGAGGCCTGTGTGTAATGTGTACACAGTGGCGGTCGCGTGGGGGGGGGGGCATCAGGGCCATGCCCCCCAAAGGCCAATAAAGGGGGCCATCATATAATTTGCCCCCCCCCCCTCAAGCAACCGATGGGCCTCCATAGGTGTATGGGGCCCTGGCCCTTATTCGATCGTCACGAGGCTAAAAAAAACCCACTCCAAGCTATTAATATAGCTCCCACACCGGTCTTTGAGCGTCCTACACTGACCTCTGAGGGAACTTCAGTGGCGGTC